CAAATAAATAAACAAATAAATAAACAAGTTCATGATATCACATCAAATATAAGGGCTTGAAAATGCCTTTCCATGTATACCTAAATTAGCTTATTATTAATAAAAGTGTTAAAGCATATTAAAGTGGATTTTTACAGACCTGGTGTATTTTCTCGAAACTGATTTGTGTCAGACTTTCCTTTAGGAGCATAGATGTGATGTTTTTTATATGAATATCTAAGCTATAAATCTGCTTTTTGAGCTTTGTCCAGACTCTGCGTTATACAAATAAACTGAACTGAATTTGCTGTGCCGTTTCCTCTCCATCAGCAGACATGGCAGATGCAGAGCTGGACTTCCAGACGGGTGATGCGGGCGCCTCGGCCACCTACCCAATGCAGTGCTCTGCCCTGCGCAAAAACGGCTTCGTCGTGCTCAAGGGCCGACCCTGCAAGATCGTCGAGATGTCCACCTCCAAGACCGGAAAGCATGGCCACGCTAAGGTCAGTAAGGTTGTGCTTTTATTAACACAAACCTGTTCAGCTCAAACAAATGAAATAACGTGATGCACTCACKTTATTAGGTTGTTTATATAAATATGGGAAATCCCTTCATAAAATGATTCCGCTTTTTAAATATACAGCAGGAATTCCCAATAAAAATGAGTCTCGCAAACAAAACTAACATTTTGCAAAGTGATAAAATCATCAAATTTCAACAAAGTACGTCTCAATTTTAGGCTTTTGAAATAGAAAATTAAAAATATTAACTAAATATAAAAAAAACATGGTCCCCAGTCTAATACATCTTTGTATTTTGTACGAGTGCAGGTTCACTTGGTTGGGATTGACATCTTCTCCGGTAAAAAGTATGAAGACATTTGTCCCTCCACTCACAACATGGACGTCCCCAACATCAAGAGGATGGACTACCAGGTGAGCTTTAGCTCTGATTTAACCAAGAAACGACTACTTTTATTCAAGTACGGTTTCAAAAAAATGCATGTTAAAACGAATTTGTAACGTTTGTTCTGGTTATCTCTGCTCTCTCCCAGCTGATCGGCATCCAGGACGGCTACCTGTCCCTGCTCCAGGACAGCGGCGAGGTCAGAGAGGACCTGAAGACTCCCGAAGGAGACCTGGGGAAAGAAATCGAGAGTCGACACGAAGCCGGAGAAGAGATCCTGGTCAGGACCGTCGCCTCGCTGCTTTTTGTTGTTGTTGTATCGGTCTGATTCTTGTATCTGTCTGACTCAGATGTTTGGTTACCCACCAGCAGCAGGGAATTTAATTGCTTCAAAGCTAAAGGTCTCCACTTCATCCATCTGAACATACGCAGCCTCTTACCAAAAGTGAATGAACTTAAACTTATTGCTGTGAAATCACAGGCTGCTGTGATCGGGATAAGCGAAACRTGTCTAGACGACTTGGTAACAGACACAAAGTTTGAACTACCTGGCTACTCTGTTCTCAGAAAGGACAGAAATCGACTTGGTGGTGGAGTCTGTGTGTACATCTGCTCAGATGGTGCCTTTAATCCTCGCCCAGACCTGGAAGGCAATTATGAGAGCATATGGCTTGAACTGTACCTCCCAAAGACTAAGCCCATTTTAGTGTGTGTATGCTACAGACCCCCAAGTGACTTTAAATTCTATGACCAGATTGAACACTTCTGCTTAAAGTGCAAAAATTTTCTGGAAATAGAAAGCTTCATTCTCGGTGATTTCAACACCAACTATGGCTGTAGCTCTAATGTGATGTTTCAAACATTTCAAAGATTTGCATCTGTGTTTGATCTTAACCAAATCAWAAATGTTCCRACCAGGTTAACACCAACTTCATCTTCTATATTAGATCTCATTCTAGTTTCTGACCTGACAAAACTTAGCCAAAATGGTGTCATTAGCACTGGTCTAAGCGACCACTTGATGACCTACTGTACCCGAAAAATAATTAAAACGAGCACACCAACACAACACAGCTAAAGTACGATCTCTAAAAAAGTATACTAACAAGTCTTTCGAACAACTACTTAGTAATATTAACTGGCATGAAGTCATAAATAGTAGTAATATTGAAGAGGCATGGTCACTGTTCAAAGATAAAGTCCTGGAGGTTCTAGACAAAATTGCTCCCTTAMAACTAGTASGTATAAAACAAAAYACAGATCCCTGGATGACRGGTGAAGTTCTCCACYTAATTCACCAGAGGAAACATACTTTCAGTCAGTTCAGAAAAACTAAGAACCAAGAATGGTATGAWAAATATGTATGACTAAGAAACCTGGTTCAGTCTAACAAGGTCCAAGCTAAATCAGACTATTTTGTGAACAAGATGGAAGAATGTAAAAACCAGCCCAAAACACTATGGAATTTACTAAAAAGCCTTGGCACCTCCTCTAACATAAAAACATCCAACAACATTGGCCTCAAAAATAGAAAATGATATATGCTTTGACAAGCACAAGGTGGCTGAAAACTTTGCAGGTACTTCTCCACTGTTGCTTCCTCTCCAATAAAAAAATTACCCATGGGAAGTGGGAGGTTTGGCCCTACCTACATAAAGCCATTCTACAGCAAATGAATAAACTCAGGTACTTCATTTGTATTCAAACACGTAACAGAGGACACTGTCCTCAAAAACCTTCAAAATCTAAACCCAAACAAGGCAACTGGACCAGACCAAACACCCACCAGATTCATTAAAGATGGCGCCATGTACCTCACCTCCCCACTAACACATATCATAAACTTGTCTCTGTCAACAGCTAGTATCCCTTTCAAACTTAAATAAGCTAAAATTACCTCTATTCACAAAAAGAGCAGTAAAACTGAGGTTAGTAACTATCGTCCTGTCTCAATTCTCAGTGTTTTCAGCAAACTGATTGAGAACCAATATCTCACAGATCACAAACTTTTATACGAGCTCCAGTCAGGTTTCAGACCCTCTTATTCTACAGACATATGCTTCACTGATTTTATCAAGTCAGAGAAAGATAAAGGCAACCTCACAGGTACGGTCCTTCTGGACTTACAAAAGGCCTTTGGATCACACATATTGGAAGCCCTGGGGCTCCAGAAACCAGCTGTAAACTGGCTCAGACAGACAGCAGTATGTAGAAATCGGAGGTGTAACATCCACTACAACAAAAGTGGTATGCGGAGTCCCACATGGTTCCATTCTTGGACCGTTACTATTGTTAATGAATGTCTGCTGCCGTAAACTGCAAGCTGCTATTATATGCAGACGACTCGGCTCTCGTAGCAGCTGCTAAGGACACTTTAGAAATTCAGCAATGCCTAACATCGGAACTTCACCCTATCCACAAATGGCTTACAGACAACGATCTCTTCATCTCGGAAAGACAGAAACAATCCTCTTTGGATCCAAAAGAAGGCTCAATGGTAAAGATCCACTAGACGTTAAAAGTGATGGCCACCCCCTCTCCAGCAAACCAAGGTTAAATACTTAGGTGTGGTGCTGGAGGAAAAACTCTCAGGCAGTCAAATAGCTGACACTGTTATCAGAAAATCTAATGCCAAACTTAGGTTTCTCTACAGGCAGACAAGACAATTCAACAATAAAACCAAAAAAATGCTAATCTCAACTCTCATACAGTGTCATGACTATGCTTGTGCCTCATGGTATTCAGGCCTTCCCAAAAAATTGAAAACTCAGCTACAGACTTCACAAAATAAAATACTCTGGTACCTCCTGAATGCCAATCCTCGTTCAACTACTTCCTGTTCACCTCCGAGTAAAACAACTGAAACTAAGTCACATTCATAATATCCTGCACGGTAAAGCTCCCTCCTATCTTAAGGCCCTGGTCACTGTAGATCAAAGTGCCACAACAACCGATCAGGCCCACTGTCTCTAGTTATCCCAACCTCAAAATCTTTCGGTCAGATTTCTTTCAGCTATTCTGGAGCCAAAGCATGGAAAAAAAACATGATCTCCCAACACAAATACAGTCAATACACCGCATAGAGAATTATAATCAAAGCTAAAAGATCTTCTACTCAACAGTCTTCGTGAAGCGGAGTTAAATCCCTTCACTATGCCCTTGTAAGAACTCACTCTATGAAATTAAGAACCAGCTCAATCTCACAAAGTAATATCTYACGCAAGATCTTTTGCGTTATGAAAATCTCAGAAAATGATAAGACATCAACTCCGATCATGAAAGTGAAATGAAACTTGTGACCTGAACGTATTTCTCTAAATAAAGTAATTTATTTTAGATATATGAACAGGATTAAACATACAAACATTTATTAAAAACATTATATGAATAAATGACACAAGTTATAATTTCGACACATAAATTTCACCTCAGTATTGACAAAAACAGTAAGTTCCAGGTGTTGTAACTTTACTGGCACGCTACTTGACTAAGTTTTAAGTAAATAAGAATAAAGGTAAAGATTTAAGCATAAAGAATAGTAGGAAAAGTAAATTAGTGAATTTGGCACTTGTTCTTTAAATTAAGACCAGGCCAGCACCAGCATTATGTCAGACTAGACATCTCCGGGGGCTAGACTTCCTTCGACATTTATCTCAGTAAACATTTGTCTACCTTTTGATGTCCTCACACAGAGATCACAGGCAGGTAGACGGTTTTGAGAGTGTCGGCATCCGAAATCCGCCAAGGTGGATAAAGTCTGTCATGACATCAGGGGCTGAGGAGGGAGACTCCTGTCTCCCCCCTAAGGAGCCTCCAGTGGCTCCAGGCGCGGTCTCAGTAGAACAGTGCTTCTTGGCATGTTAGTAACATCCATGCAGGTGTCCAGAGATGGACATTCACTCCTCAGAGAGACTCAGACAGAACCAACCGCTCCGGCCAACAGACAAAGAACAACTGACTGTTAACCGTGAGAATAGAAAATTAGTTTCTTGAGAGGAGGCAGTGAGAAAGTAAACAATCTGTCTTTTCTCACCAGCTGCG